CAACTATAACTTGAAGTAAAACCGATTTTTATGTAACATAAAACCAATAATAGCAAGACACTTAACAATTAGTATATAGAACTCCCGAGTATAACTCCGAGACTATAATGCAAAATAGTATATAGAACCCCCAAGTATAACTCCGGGGCTATAACACCAAATAGTATATGAACTCCCAAGTATAACTCCGGGACTATAACACAAAATAGTATATAGAATTCCCGAGTATGATTCCAGGGCTATATTAGTAAAATCTATGATAAAAACATGCTAAAAATTTTAATATAGTTGCATGATTTTAATATATTAGATATAATCTAGGTATATATGATACAAAACAACTATATCCCGGTTAATATAACTATTTATTTTGATACAAACATATTATCATATAAACATAATATTACCTTATATACAATATTTGGCATGCATTTTCTCCGAAAATATTAAAAAATGGGGCCATTAAACCACCCTAGTAGTGTGATCTATAGAATCTAAATGAAAAACGATCAGGGGTTCATCGTTGTTAGGCTCGGGAAGGGAAACGTCCGTCAGAGAATGAGAGAGAATGAAAGTAGAAGGTGTAACGATTGAATGAGCCTCAATTTCTATTTATAGGCTATCCAAAGACATCTCATTTCATGAGAATGATAAGCTCACGTCGTGATCCATGGCTATATCACCTCGTAGACTTTCCATTTCCGATTCTAACTTCGGAAGGTGTCTAGATGACTTCTCACGTCGTGAGAATGAGATGCTCAAGTCTTGAGGTTCCATGAGTCACCCTGTAGCCTTAATAGGTGTTTTCTAGCCTTAATTAGTGTCCTGGAGCACTCTCATGTCGTGATAATACATGCTCACATCGTGAGCTCCGACAAATTAGGGTTTCTGCCACATGTCATGCTCTTAGACAGCTACATCTTTGGAAGATCATAACTTTTGCATACGAGCACCGTTTTTGACGTTCTTTATATCCACGCATAGGTATTTCCGAGTACTACAACTTTAATTTACACACCAATAACTATGTCTAATTCTATTTTAAATTCCTCTTGTTGTAGGGGCTATAATGCTAGAATTTTTCATAACTTCTTCATGCGAAGTCAGATTTAGACATTCTATATATGTTTAGACTTGTATAGACTTGTAGTATTTGAATGAAAATATCATTAAAGATTAATCTAAATTGATTATAATATGTGTTTGTTATATTTATGGGAATTATCTTTGACCTAAATTTAATTGTTGATACAATAATAAACACACATCTCACGGTCATTGCTTACAATTCTAAGTTTAAGTCTAGAAATTTCCTAAAAATCCTAGTTCCCTTAAACTAATGCTCTGATACCAACCATGACATCACCATTTTAATGGCCAAAAAAAGACTGATTTGTGTTTGCTTGTTAAATCAAAGTATCCTTTTAAAAAGATTTACTTCGCGGAATTTGTCCCATAAATATGATAATAATATTGTCAAGACATTATCCAGGAAATGTATTTTATTTATAAAACTCATGATGTCATCGTCAATACAAGAGACACAATCATAAACAAAGACTTACAACATCTCTTTATACTAATAGTCTATATCATCTTTGAATCTCTCGACAGATACCTATATCATCATATATAAGTACCTGTGATACAATAAAATGAGTGGTTGAAGTTCGGAAACCTGGTGAATACATAGGTATTTCAACCCATAATAATATAATTTATCTCTTTATATAATTCACACAAACAGTTAACACGATTACCCATCCCATTTACTATCTCTCTCTCTCTCTCTCTATTTCTCTCTATCTCTCTCTCTTTCTCTCTTTCTCTATCTCTCTCTCTCTCTCTCTCAAGGGTTCTACCCTAAGGGTTACTTGTTAATAAGGTAACCAAGGAAATATAGAGTACTCAAATGAATCCATAATCTATACTCTCGGTTTGTGTGATTTCATTAACACACACAGATTGTAAGTCTACTAGTGTTCCACTTGACTGTATAGAATAGTATGTGGTTGCCATCAATACTCTGCTTGACGATTGATCTCTGTTGGGCATGGTCTCTTTTCCCTATCATTGGCATGGTCTTTCACCACTAATCTATATGTGGTATGGTTTCTCACCATTATCTCTTTCCTCATATGGTCTTTCACCCTTGTATCTACTCTTATCGCCCTAACTGTTATCTCATTTCACTTATCATTTTCTACCCGTCCTACCCAATACATTATGACTACGGTAAAAATACATATATATATATATATATATATATGATATTTTATAAAAATTGTTATCTCATGTAACATAGATATCAAAAACTCATACAATAAGCATTTAAGAAAATTAAATACTTTATATATATATATATATATGTAAGTTGAAGGTAACTATGCACTTACTTGACAAAGGCAAGTGACTCAAAGTTAGGGCAGTGCTTTACCTAAACACCATAGATATTCCCTAGACATGACCTAAGTGTGATTAATTCCGAGTCTTAGTCTAATGATAATGGTGACTAATAATAGTCTAGATCCTCACTAATCTCAATGTCTACATCAAGATTTATCAAGTAAGCATCACCAAGGAAGGATGGTAGGGAGGCATGATCATTTTGGTATATAGTTTTTCTGAAATCCAACAACCAAACCAACATGACCATTCTAGCCACATCTCCCGTAAGTAGATCAATCAATATAACGATGTGGAATTACTGATAAATGTTATTTATAGGTTCATAACGTATGACTATAAGTATAAGTTACATTGAAAATAGAAGAGTGTAACTTAACTTATAGGGGTTATTGATGTAAACTTATGATTTAAGTGGTCATATTGACGACTTCAGGACTTCTATTTGAAGGTAATAACTAGCTAAGTATTCAGGGGTATAGCAGGGCTTCCCCTCAAGACAAAAACTCAATAAAAATGGCCTAAAAGTGAAGAATACTCGTGAGAGAATGCATGTTGGGGTGTGGGGGTAAAAGTATATAAATAGATGGCTATTAATAGGAATGAAAAACATTGCACACCACACACTAGGCATGCACGCCACGCACTAAGGTGTTTCTTGCTCCTATGGGATTCTGCCACGTGTCGACGCCTTGTTTGTCCGCATATGCCCAAAAAGATCCAGTATATATATATATATATATATATATATATATATATATATATATATATATATATGTATGTATGGAATGAGATTTCTGTCTAAATATATGTTCTGAACTTTTTTCACTAAAATTCATCACCAACCATAATTGTGGTTGACTACACTGGTAATCCAAGTAATTTTACTCAATCTAATAACACTTATGTTAAGTTGTGTTGTTGTGAAAAATTGAAGTCTCCTTCGAAACCAAAGCAACAGAAGCCCTTCGATGCTCATCAATGTGTGTTCGATTGTAATTAACGGGATACCACACAAGAAATTCTTCATCTCTCTTGATGTCGAATGAAGAGATCTTTATCGGGGATTATTTTGCTTTCGTATCAAATGAAATTTGATCTTGCTATATCCATATTTTGTTTTAATTGCTTCTATCTCATTCTTTTGCAAACAAATGCACAACAATCCTTAACGTTTTGGGTATTATCAACTCGAAACTTAGATTTGGCAAAGTATGACATATGATTTCGCTTCCAAATCACAAAAGTGAATGAGCCCAACCTCTATGCAAAAGGATTGGTCTTACCTTGGTGTCGAGTTACATGGCGTACTTGTTTGAGGAATGAAAATTTTGATGGTTCTTATCCAATTAGGAACATCAAAAGATCCAATGGACGTGAAGGTTTAGGATTTTCACGGGAATCAAGGAAAACATGATGATCACTTTTATAACATGGACCTTTTTACGGTGTCGGTTAAGTAACCAACACAATACGTCGCATTTTCTTAACGGATACCCGTTCAAATTCAAAAATACCATCGATTATAAAAGGAAGGTCATTATTTCCTTATCAAAGTTTATGCTTTCTGATCAAACCTCAAAGAATCCTAATTGTTCATCATTTCTAAATTTTTCCAAAATTTTCTACAATGGAGGCTTCTCATCATAATGTTGATACAACAACTACTAATGATGACAGAGTTTTTCAACCGGTGATGAAGATCCAAAACACTAATCTTCTTCTAGTTCCATCCCTTGATCAATACCCGAAGGTATTACATATGCTTGTTCAAACTTTGAACAACTCTTTTCTTTTGATTACACTTTCCTCATCGTTTGGAATTCCGATGAAATGGTTTTCACTTGCTCCTTCAACTACACTGTTCAAAAAAAAAACTACGAAGGTGGTTACATTCCAGCTCTCGAATTCAAAAACAAAGAACCTCACTCGAAAGTAGTTTGCCCAAATGCTGAAATTACCGACATCAAGTACTTTATATGAAGTTACCAATGATCAGGTGGTTTATATGTTTAACAAAATGGGGCATCAACCTACCCTCACTGGAATCAGTCATTTTAAGAAGTCTAGTCTTACCTGTATTTCGGGTTTTTTGTTTGGGATTGCCCAACGGTGCTTAAAAGGAAGAAGCACTAGGCTCGACAAAGCCAAGCTTGAAGTATATTTAGTCATAGTAGGATTGTATTATGGTCAGAATGTGGATTATGCTTCACATCTTTGGGAAGAGTTTGGAACTTCGATCTCACACACGAATCTAACAAATGGTGTTTTGAGTGCCCGATTTTGGAGCATAATTTTACAGGAAGTTTATAGTGAAGTGAATATTCGTGTTCCATCTGATGTCAAAACTAAGGAGTTTTCGATAATGGCTGCTACAAGGGTTTTGTGGATGATTATACTATTTTTCCAAATGTTGCTCGAATTTCAGATTCGATGCTCAAGCTCACGGATCCCAAAAATCAACTACTGGTGAAATACTTGGCTTCTATTAATACTTCTCATCCAACTTGTTTTCTTCCACAAAAGGGGGTAGAGAAACATCTAAAGCTTCAAAAGCTTAAAAAAATAAGAAACCAATTGTCAAACCACAATCAATGGATGAAGAAATTCTCAAAGAAACAATACCCATGAAAATTGGGGTTCTTAAAAGAACGCAGAAACCAACAAAGAAGTATTCTGAATCTCCAGTCCAGACAACTACACAAGAACCTATAGTCAAAATTGTTGAGCCCAAGTATATTGAATCTTCAAATCCTATTTCTTCTCAGGGTGGTCCAAAGAGGGTTCGAAAAGCACAATTTAACAGGAGGGTGTTCTATTTCGTGAAGTAATGGTTCCTGGATCACCGGCCTCCAAGAAGCGGCAAGCTATTGATATGGCTCAAAAGTTAAGCAAGAAGAAACACTAGGTTCAAGTTTCACTTAAGAATGTGACAGTCAAAATTGAGCATAACAGTGACAGTGAAAGGTCAGATATTCGAATCAAGGATTTGTATATTGGTTCACCTCGAAGGGATTCTCCTATCAAGTCGAATTTCGAGGAGACAGGGAATCCTGATGTCAATGTAAATGTATCTAATATGGATACAAACATCAATTTGAGTGATCAACAAAACATTAATATCCCTGAAAAGAAAATTGTCAAACCATCTGAGGATTTCGCATACCGCGTCCGGTCAGGAGGAGGTCTAAACTTTAGACATCACTATGTACTTATCTAATACGGACACAAATGTTTACATGGATGAAGGGTTCACAATAATGAATCTATTGTCACATCTACATTCACAACTTCAATAGCTTTACCACCACCTTCATCACCCATTCCCACTTTCGTTCCAGTTTCGACTATATCACCAACATTTTCTGGTATCATGCAAGAACCTATTGCCACTATCTTTTCATCTCAATCCACTAAAAAGTCACAACATGAAAATGAAACTAATGATGAAGATGTCATGGTGTCTTTTGTTGATCTTCAGTTTGATCTAGAGGAGGAGAATATTCTCGATGAAATGACCATGTTAGAAAAACAATTCAAAATATAGAATTCCAAGATGAATTTTATATTACAGTTCTTGGTTGATACAGGAAGCAAGAATTCTTTGAGTAGCATTGAAGTTGATTCTCTTCTCAAAACCCAAGAGTCTTGACTGCAATCTATAATATATGATGTTGAAAAGCAAAATGATGAACAAATTCTCAATCATCCTCGCAATCTTACTGGTCAAGTTTCTAAGCTTCGTGATGTTTCAAAAGAACGTCATGAGTTTTTTGCAAAGCAAATTTAGGAAACGAAAGTCTTTTTACAGACTCAGTGTCACACCCCCAAACCGGAACGACAGAAACGTCCGGGGGCGGGTATCGTAAAAATTGAGTAATAGTAATCAAAGCAACACAACCATCATATTGAAAATATATAATTTAGATTCTATTCAGAACATTGTTTTTTTGACATCAAAATTATAACAAAAGCTAAGACGTGACGCTACTATGCTCCGTCTTCGTGACACCTGTAAGGGTACGTGTCTACTAATTTCCTGAGAATACAAGTGGTTTGAAAAAATGTCAAAATTCAAGTTGGTGAGTTCATAAGCATTTTATGTGAAAATGTATGTTCTTTGTTATTGAAAACATTTATGTGTTCTTCTAGAAAATCCAATATTTTCTTTGTAAATGAGTTGTAGTTTTAGTACCTTAAGACCAAAAAGTATAAGTTTCTTATGCTTAAAAGTTGTAATGCGAAGTTCTAATTTATGTAAATGGTGTGACCCATACTATTATCTCCTATGATTGCTTAGTGTATACAAGTTATATATAATCAAGATCGAACGGACAGTCGAATGGGTGATTCTGCCCTAAGCCCACAACCAAACAAGGAATAGGAAGTAAGGCGGAAATCACACATCCCACTGCCTATCAGATCTTCTTTATATATAACCCTAACGTATACATTAAGTAATCATATATTTAGCAATAAGGGTCCTCAATATATGTTTTCTTGAAACGCCAATCATACCGTATTAGTAAGTAGTATAATGAATTGCTTTTAGTGTAACTGTGTGTAATTCTAGAAATCCCATAGCTTCCTTCTATAATCCCTTAGTGTATACAAGTTATATATAATCAAGTTTGAATAGGCCATTGCATGTAATAGTTCTGCCCTAAGCCCACAACCAAACTAGGAACAGGACCCAAAGCAGACCCACCAATTCAAAGTCGATCGGATCTTAATATAACTCTAGCTTATACATTAAGCCATCATAGACGAAAATATGATTCTCTGTTGTCCTAAAACCGATGTGTATGAAGTATTGTACTAGAAAATAGTGCGATACAATTTTATTATTTAAATAAAACCATTGAAGTTATGTTTATCCCTTAAACCAAATGTTTTAGTTAATGCTTATTGTGAGTGTTTACTATAACCATGCTAAAATGACTAATAGCCTACACGACATTCTTCAGGCGTCAGAAAGGTATGACATTTTTCACCCCAGAAACTCAATAAAAATGGATATATACGAAGTTGGCCTAAAAGTGAAGAATATTCGAGACAGAATGTGAAGGCCATTAGTTATTTTAGGCGTCAGAAAGTTATGACATTTGTAACCCCAGAAACTCGATAAAAATGGCCTAAAAGTGAAGAATACTCAAGAGAGAATGTGAGTTGGTGTGTGGGGGTGAAAGAATATACAAAGCTAGCAATTTTAGGAAAGAACAACATTGCGTGTCGCGTACTCTAGCCATGTACACCACACACTAGGGTGCTGCGTGCTCGTTTGGGCTTTTGCCACGTGTCGCCGCCTCATTCGTCCGCGTATGCCTCTTCTAGAAGGTGTCACATATCATATATTCATGGTTCCATGTGTCCAAATCTCATGGTGCCATGTCACCTTCGCTCGTTAAAGATTGGGCGGCCGACCATGCTACGTGTTGCCTCCAGAACTTTCCATGTCATGGTGCGTGTTCCGCGAGTTTTTAGATTTTCAAAATGCCATAACTTCTTCATATGAGCTCCATTTTTGATGTTCTTTATATACCCAGAAAGCGCTCGACGATATCTAAAACTTTCATTTAGACTCTATCGGGTAATTTTATTATTATTTTTTAAGTTATATTTTTAAAAGGCTTAGACTGTTAAAGTTCGTTGCAAATTAATAACTTTCTCATACGATATCTTTTCTCGACTATATTTATATCGATATAATCATATGGATGAGATCTTAAACTCTCATTTTTATTGTTTTTCCTAATAATCAACTGATCAATACTACGGTTTCTAAGCCATATATTGTTGTGCTGAAACTTCAAAAAATCATAACTTCTTCTCACAAAGTCAGGTTTGGACATTCCCTATATGTATGCTATTTGTTTAAGGACTAGTAAAACTTTCGTTTAGACCATTTAGAATAAAAAGCAATTTATCAAAAAATCACTTTTTATGATACGCAGAGTCGTGTCGTTTAATCGCAAAACTTCCAAGAAACATAACTTCTTCATACGAAGTTGGATTTTAGTGTTCTTTATATGTACAGAATCATTGTCACATATGCTATAACTTGGTTAAGATCATTTATCCAAAATAAATCCCTCTTCAAAAGTTATTATTATGGATTATAATATCTTATTTGTCTAGCCCGAATTTGCAGGTGTTACAAAAAGCAAAAACATGAGAGAATGAGTATGTCAAGCATGCTCACGGTTTTTGAATGTAAAAAGTTCAAAAATAAAAGCATTTCATGCACTCTCTTAAAGTTAAAACAATACACATGAGTCGTTAACCAATTAAGCACTCGTGTTTTTTATTAAACAAATCAAAAAGTATGTTTCTTTTATTCTTTCTTATAAAGATATAAAAGAAGTCAAAAGTTTATAAATTTAGTAAACTTCTTTTATAAAATATAAAGTTTCGCTTTTGGCTAAAAGACAAAAGTCTTTCTAGTAAAAATAATGTACATGACTTAATAAATCATACCATATGATATGTTATGTTACTCGCTAGTGAAAAATTATTACTTCCAAGAAATAAATAATTTTCAATTGATTATAAGAGTTTATTGAATATATATTAAAATTAATTTCTAATAAATAATCAATTGTATCATGTTGTTGTTAGTATCACCCATTAGTATCATATGTTAATTAGCAATATCATTTTAATATGACTCTTGATCCTACAAGATGTCTCAATCTCCCACTTGTGCAAGACTTATATTAGACTGATATAGACGGTGGTGAACATTTAGCAACATTTCATTGCCTCTAACAACATATGACTTTGTGCCATTCTATCAATATCCAAATCCCCTAGAAGCTTAAGTTTACAATTGGTGTATAAGGTAAGTTATTAGTTATACCTTTGTCACATACATCATGTTGAACATCAGATACAGATCACAATCAATCTTGTATGGTTTTTAACTTTTGGTAAGGTGCCTTAAATGTCTAACTCGCAACACATAAGAGGAACAAATCCCATCTTTACTACATAAGCCTCTTGCATAGTTCACACTATACCCGAAAATGGATTTTATAACTACCCAGTTAAGGACCAACATTTGACCATATCAAATCATATAACTCCCTTCACTTAAGTTCCACTATGTATCTCAGGTGTTAAAGATACAAAGATAGTACCCTTTAATTAAGTATCATTCATGATAGCAATCCATAAGGTGATCTTGATGCGGTTCAGTTCAATACTAGTTCTCTAACAAGTACCTATGAAACTTGGTTACAACCATTTGCCTACTTTCATCTAGTGAAATTCAACCAATCCAATTTATATTAGTCTTACTTCATAATTTCTCCCATAATTATAACCGTCTATGAACTTTTTGTTGGATTAGTGTCTAAGTCCATAACTATTTTGGTATGTACTTGACCCGATGGTGCATGGTCCTTTTGGGTTGCCTTCACCAAAGCAACTTAATAGGATGAATTATGGAGAGTAAGGATTAAATATGATTTATTAATATATTATGGGAATAATATATTAAAGGAGAAATCATATTGTTTAATTAATATTAGTCAATAATTAATTGGTAATTAGTTTTGTGACTAAAAGAGATTAATTAAACTTAAGGGACTGGAATTGTAATTATAAGATAATTATAATTTGGGCCATGGATTGCCTTGTATCAAGGGTTGGACGAATTCTATGGGGAAGCCCATAAGGAAATCGTCCAAGGGCTTGATTAAAAGGAGTCTATGGGTTGCTTAGGGCTTAAGCATCCAAATTAGGGTTTCCTTGTTGGATAACCCTAATAGCCCAACTATATAAAGACCCCTTAAGGCTCAAAAACGTGGCTAAGCTTCTTGTAAGGGTTTCTACACGTTTTTGGCAGCCTCCATCCTTTCTCCTATTCATCCTCTTGCTTATGGTTTTTGTGAACCATTAGAGGAGTGACACTTGTGACTCTAAGCCTTCCAAAGTCAATTCAAGGAGATTTGTGATTGTTATTGCTACATAACAATCAAGGTAACACTATAAACTTATTCTCATGTTAATATGATTATATGTATGCTAGAATTAGAGTTTATAGTCTTGGATTCAAAGCATGTACAATAGAGAAACCTAGATCCAAGCATTAGGGTTTGTATGAGCACAAAGGATGTCTTATGACAAAAACCCATCAGTGGTATCAGAGCCTAGATTGGTTTCTATTGTATTGATGCTTGATATAACTGGAAAATTCGATTTTTTGGATTCTGGTGGCTGGACTCGCCGAGTCCATGGCTGAACTCGCCGAGTCCATGCAGACTCGACGAGTCCAAGGCTGACTCGACGAGTCAACTCGTCTGACAGGCGGATTTTCGGGATTTTTTACCTATTATGACTTAGGATAATTACCATAATTGTTTAAACTTGATAAAATTCGAATTTTATTAATCCCTTATGATTATCCTTGTCAAGATAAAAGATTTTGGTCATCTAATTAGATAATTGTTACCTTATTTGATATATGTGAAGTTATGGAAATTATTTGATCATTATCTTGCAAGAATTTGAACTAGATCTAATTAGATAACCACCAATTATAGT